CACTCCCCCTGCTTGTATTCCCTCTCTTGCTGTCTCTCTCTCTCTCTCTGTCAAATAAATAAATAAAATCTTTAAAAGAAAAAAGAAAGAAAAAAAGTACAATATTTAAAAAAAAAAAAAAAAAAGTAGCCACCCATACGGTTCCTACTATGTTTCCACTTACACATCTTCCTTTCCTGTCACAGGCATAGCTGTGTTTATGTAATGGTAGTCCTTGTAACCATATACCTATCCTGCTTTTTTCAATTAGCATAAACATCATAAAATGTTCATAAATGGTTTCTACATAATTACTCTTCGTAAAAGTTGCAAAGTGTTGCATAGGTGGAGGTCCTAGAATTGAATGATCCAGTTCCAGTGTTGGATCCCAGCATGAGGGCTAGGATAGGGTAGTGGGATAGTATTGCCCTCAAAGCCTGAGTCAGCAGACCTAGGTGACCTTCGGTGAGTTGTTTTATCCCTCTGAACTGCAGTTTCCTTATCTCTGAAGTCCCGATGCTTCCGTTCATTTACTGAGCAGCTTCTATGGGCCGGACACTGTACACTGTACTAGCTGGGTGAACGGTGGTGAAAGAAACAGGCATGGCTGGGCTCTGCCCTCAAGAAGCTCTAATTTATAGACGTTCATAAACATGGAGTAAGCCTTAATTTTTCCAAGTCGAGTTACATTGTGAGAAAGAAGTAAGTCGTTTAGGGGTGCCTGTGGAGAGCAGGAAAGCTAAAGACACGGCCTGTGAAGTTGCTGACACAAGACAGGCGCACATAACATATTATGTGGACATACTGCAGTTTTCCTTAGCTTAAAATTGAAGAGATGTAAAATCAACATTTGATTTTCCCCCTAGAGATGCTCCTGTCCTAGAGCCCATATCTTACTAAAAAGTTCTTCCATTTTGGGGTTCGCTCAGGCCAGGAACCTTGGAGACCTCCCTGAGTCTGCCTTCTCTCTTACGCTCCACATCCAACTCATCCACCAGTCCTGTCAGCCCTCCTTCTGGAATCCCGGCCCTCTCACCTTGTCCACTCACCACCAGGTCCCCAGCACTGTCATCCCCTGATTGAGCGGGACAGCTTCCTGTCCTGGCTTCTTTCTGCTTTGTCCGCCTCTGAGCAATTCACATAGCAGCCACAGTGCGCCATGCTCCTTTCAAATGCAAGTCAGGCCAGGTTTTTCTGCTCACAGCCCTCCACTGGCTCTCCCATCTTCCCCGATAACATTCAGAAGATGTGTGAGGGTCTGTCTGAGTTTGCCCTGCTCCCTTGTCCAATTCCCACTCCTCCACACTCTGGTGGTCTTGCTCTTCAAACACACCACACATGTGTCCACCTCCTCTGTCCCCTGTCTGAGGGAAGAAACCTGCCTACAAGAGCAAACCCCTCCTCTTTCCCTCCTTTTCTTCTCTTGCTTTTCTTTTCCCTGTGGAACTTACTTCCATGAGACAGGTTATATATTTCCTTGTTTGCTTCAGTCTGCCTCCTTATGAGAACAGAAGCTCCTTGAGGGCAGAAACATTGCTGTGTTCGCTGCTGTTTTCCCAGAGCCTGATACATTAATCATTGTTGAAGGGCAGACCTTCTGAATAAGAACGGTTGCTTGGCTCCCTAAGCAGCATCAACCAGGATTGCGGAACCTAGTGGGGCCGCCTCATGTTGATCTGATTGACAACCTCACAGGTCCAGAATTTGTGATTTGTCTGTATATTCAGAGTCGATCATGTTCTTGGGGACTGACTCGTGGTAATCCAGCTCTCGGTAGACTGATGCATAGGTCAGATGCAAATTTACTTGATTTCCTATGGAAGTATATGCCCTTCCGATGACGGAAATACCATCCTGAGGACTCCCATTCCTGCCACGAAGGTATTTAGGAGGCCCAGTTATGAATCACAGTTCGTGACCAGAGAATCAGACTTAAGTGAGTCGGACTAAAATGAGCAAACAAGATGAAATACGTGTCTGAAGTTCAGAGGAGACGCCACGTGGGTCTGGCCTAGAGAAATGTAAAATACTTAGAACAGTACCTATCACGTGGAAACTGCTGGATCATCGTTAGGCCATACATCAGTGGCCTCCCGACAAAGTAGTCATGGGGCCGAACGTTGGCCTTTCCCTCACAAACAGTGCCACGGCGAGGTTGCCAGACCCTTGTGGGGTCTCCGAGGCAGGTGTACCTGTGGCCTTGCCTGATCATTATTAAATATTTGCCTGGTGACGTTGCCAGCTACTCTTTTGCCTCCACGCTCGCCATAAATCCCCTGGTGATAATTTGGCTTTCCACGTGTCCTGCCTGACACGGAGGGGATGTGTTAGCCTGCCGATTTGAAGTTCCCATGCCTCCAACGTTATATTTCTAGTAAATTAATAAACTGGCAACCTGGCCCATAATTTGGGTTTCTGTGTGGTATGAGAATGTGCTTACACCAGGATATGAGAATATGGTATCCTCGGTCACTGTATTTCTCACTGCAAATGAACAGGCATGCAGCGTTAATAGCAAATCTCAGGAGCGTGGTTAGAGTGAGCACATCCCTGAGAAGCGTAACGAGTTGGTCTGTTGACACCATTGGGTTTCGCTGCAAGGGCTGAGGACAAGGGCCATGAAACTGCCCTGTCTCCCAATGTGCCATCCTCTTGCCATGTCCTGGGAGACGGACTGTCTTTGTCTTGAAATACCCCCACACAACCTTGGCCCTAGAGTTCGACAGCCCCTGTGGATTACAAGAGTCGTTTGAGAAAATATACCAAAACCATAAAATCTTATCCATCCTTTGGCCCAGTATTTATCCCTAGTCAGAATCTCTCCTAAGGAAATAATCCAAATTATGGGAGAAGCTATCTGTGTAAAGATGGGCATGTCAGCGTTATTTATAATCACCCAAAATTACAAGCATCCCATCCATCCAGCAGTAGAGAAGTAGTTACGTCAGCTATTATGTATCAATTTAATCACAGCTACTAAAAAGGACAAAGATTGTGGGGATGTTGGAAAATGTTCATAGTTAATACAGCGTGAAAAAAATCAGTATATGTAATATTCAAATAAAGGTTTATATTTAAACTAAGATTGTAAATATTAGAATTTATATATTTTTTAAGTTGGAAAAATATGAAAATATCAGAAAGGAGTATTAAAAAATGGTTATTGTATAAGAGCAGTAGCATCAGGGTCTTTTTAAAACCTAATTTCCGTCCCGGCTACTTGATGGTCTTTCCTGCATCTGTTCTCTTGTGTTCGTCCCCAGTTGTCACCAGCAGGCAGCTGTGGTGGCATAACTTCGGTGCGCAGCCAGGAGGAGCCCAAGGGCAGGGAATCCTCTGCAGACCAGCTGGCCTCCTCGTTGCGGTCCCGGCAAAGATTTTATCTCTCCTCTGCCACAGTCAGCTATCCTAGACTCTGGGGAGCAATAGGTCTGTGAGCCTTGGGTCTCATCCTCCATCCTGGGCATACCTTTGGATTCTTGCTGATGAGCGAAAGCCAGAGAACAGAAGTGACCATCAGTGAGGCATTTGCTAAATAGACTAAGTTCAACCATGTTATCTGCCTGGAGCCCTTCTTTTCTCTAATTTTGAAAACGTGCAGGGGACTTTGCCAAAATGAGTAGTAATGTGGTCCCATCCCTTCTCAGGAAAATGTGTCTGCACAGGTCAAAACTCCCAGCTGTTCTAAAGCAAAGGGGTGGGGAAAGAAAGAGACCACGTGAACAGTTTGATAGGACAGATTGCCTGCTTGGCAGTCATTTCTGGGAAATGTTGATACTTTTTCATAATTGCCTTCAAAATGGGGACAGGATTCCAATGGATTTGGTGATAGCTGCTCAAGATTTCTCTACGGGATTATGCTTGGAGATGGGGCCTTAAGAAGGGAACCAGCCCAACCCTACCTTGTGCCCTTCACTTGGGCACCGTGCTTTTCTTCCTAAGGGGCTATACCGTCAGGTAGCAACTTGGGTCTACAGTGACTGGGATCTTGTTTTCTGTTTTGTTCCTAGGGTTCTCAGAAGCGAGCTATCACCACCCCAGAAACCCCCCTAACAAAAAGGACTGTGTCTACTCGGAGCCCCCATCAACTCCTCTCACCATCCAGTTTCTCTCCAAGGTACAGATCAGAATGAATCCAGCTGCCGGACAGCAGGCCTGCCCTCCCCTTTCTGTGGTTGTGAGGGGGCTGACCCTCCAGAGTGACAGACTCAATACGGGTGGGTGTGTACCTCTGTGGTGCCTAGCTTGAGAGCCTATTGCTCTCTGCCCTCCCTGCCTTCTCTTCCTGTGTGGAAAATTACCGTGTCTTCCAGTAGTTAAGGAAACTCACTTTCCACCCACTTTTCTGGGGCTCATTTCCTAGGTCAGGAGCAGATACCTTCTCCAGAAAACAACCTGTCTATTCAGAAGTCCGCGAGTCTCAGGAGTCTTGCCAATAGAGACAAATAGGCTTCCACCTGCCTCTGTTAGTTTTGGTGTTGTTGGGTTTCTTCTTCTCCTTTTTCTTCTCTTCATCTGTAGTATCTATTTTTTTTTTTTTTTAGGATTTTATTTACATATTTGTCAGAGAGAGAGCACAGGCAGGGGGAGTGGCAGGCAGAGGGAGAAGCAGACTCCCCGCTGAGCAGGGAGCCTGATGCGGGGCTCGATTCCAGGACCCTGGGATCATGACCTGAGCCGAAGGCAGATGCTTAACAACTGAGCCACCCAGGCGTCCCCAGTATCTATTTTATAAAAAGAATAGTACGTATCTGTGTTCATCCTGTTGTATAACCTGTTTATTGTTCCTCTCTCAGGTTACAACTAGTTTCTCAGAGTTTGCGTGTCACTGTGAATCTACACAGACTTAATTGGCATTTTTATCCCTGCTGCCACATCTGCACGTAAATCCACAAAGATCACATGTGATTTTTTTGAAATCCGTAAATGGCGTGTCTCCTATTAGAGAATTCCATTGGCCAGGGCCCTGCCGAGTAGAAGAAAGGCTTGGTGCTGCCGGGTCAGGATGAGGCTAAGGATCCGTCACGTTCACCATTTAGGGAAATACGAACTGCCTGTACTGTGGATCCCTTGTAGACGGAGCAGAGCTTAAGATTGTCCAGCTCTGTCGCTTGAGAAAGGAGGTGACAGCAGTCACTCCAGGTGAGCGACCACGGGACTCCGAAGGACAGTTTCTCTAGCGTAGTCCACTGCTGCTTTCAGGAGTTCTCAAACTGATTTGGGAAGCGAGCTTTCTAGACGTACAAGGGCATCTTTGAAACTTGATGGGTAGAGACGGTTCTCACCAGCTGAGCCAGCACCATGACAGCAGCTACACTCTAAATAAGCAGTCCCCCGAAGCGTCACTGCACTAAAGGGCCGGCTGTAACCGCTGTCCCATGGAGCTGCGCGCGGAGGAGCTCAGAGAAGCCGGCGGTATGCTGCCTCGGCATTTTTTAATGCACGCTAATAAAGCTGACATCAGAAGCTGGTTCTGTAATTTATGAAAGTAACTTCTCAACTATTCAGGTAGAGGCAGCGCGGAGATCGAGATCATTAATTGAGCTCATTTTCCGTAGCCTCTGTGGGAAGAAGTTGCAGTATTACCCACGTAAAACTGGTTCCTGCAAAGCTTCGGTGCCTAAAGCGCAGACTGTTTGAAAGCGACCTCTCCGGAAGCTGTGTTCCCACCCAGAGGATTAGAGGCCCGCACTGCCTTCCAAGGAGCTCGGCAATGTTCGTGTTCTTGTTTACCAGGCAGCGCGTGGAAATATGAGAACGTGTCAGTTGAGCCTCGGAGAATGGGAATGTTTGTTCACCAGCTGACTTGAATTCATTAGGTCTCCACCTGCACACACACGGGAGAGAGCTGATGAATTCCTTTTAACTTCATTTTATTGTGGTGTCTACCTTGAACTGTGTTGTGAGGTGCTATAGATGGACAGCGGTTTTGGGCTTATCCACAGCCAGGCTCTAGTGGTATTCTAATAAGTGCTAAAAAAAAAAAAAATTGTAAGAGGGACGTCTGATTGGCTCAGTTGTTAAGCATCTGCCTTCAGCTCAGGTCATGATCTCAGGGTCCTGGGATCGAGCCCCACATCGGGCTCCCTGCTCATTGGAGAGTCTGCCTCTGCCTCTGCCCCTCCCCTGCTTGTTCTCTCTCTCTCTCTCACAAATAAATAAAAAATCTTTTAAAAAGTTATAAGAAAGAAAAGAAAGTGGTACTTGAAACCCACTTTTTAATTAATCCAGAGTTTGGTTTGGTTTTGCTTTGTTTAGTTGTAAGCCAGGAGAAAACCTTTTAAAATATGTCTGTGTCTCTAAACTTACCCTCATTCCTGAAATTCCTTGAAGGTCGGGTATGTCCAACCCCATTAAGCTGATTAGATTTATAAATTGTGAGGCCAGCTTGACGTTTCTCCAGTCCCCATTTCCAAAAGGTAACCTCATTTTATTCATCTCTCTCTTCAGATAGGAATACAGTAATGTGTATCTGTTTTGCTTCCAATCAGTGCTACTCCCTCTCAGAAATACAACTCGAGAAATAACCGAGGAGAAGTAGTTACCTCCTTCGGCTCAGCACAGGGTGTGTCTTGGTCTGGAAGAGGAGGAGCCGGTGACATCAGCCTGAAGGTCTTAGGGGGTCCAGAGTCACTCACCGGGAGCTACAAATCAATGTTTCAGAAGCTTCCAGATATTCGAGACGGTAGTTGTTTTTCTCTTTGCAATTCTGGAAAATATAAAACCACCTGGAAGGGTGTAGAGTAAGTAACAAAGCTTCAGCTAGGCTGGTAGAACAAGTTCCGAGGTTGCCTTTGAATACAGAAGTTGGTAGATGTCCTCTGGGTACCCCTAGCAGTGGAGGGACATGAGGTGATGCTCTCAGCAATTCTGCCAAGTCACTTCGCTTCCCTAAAGAAAAAGCACATAACCATTTCCCAGTGACAGCCGTTTGAACTGTGTAGAGGAAGCCAGTGAAAGTCAGATATTTATGGTTTCTTCCTTATAAAGAATGGAAGACTCTCCACATTGCACTTGACTCCCCCTAAACCTCACTGATGGCCAGAATGAAAGGAAGGCTGGGTTGTGGACATTCGTGCTGACTCTCAGGGATTGTGCCACATGATCTGTGGCCAAATTTCAGCCACCAAATATTGGGAGATTGTCTAGGGCTTTAGAAAGAGGTCCTGGGCACCCTCCTGCTTCTGTAAAATGACTGACTTCAATATTTTTGATGCGCTGTATCTTTTCCTCTTGACAAGTGAAATGTCCTACTAAACACAGTACTTTTTCCCCTCTGGGCTTTCAGTTCTGACCTGTAAGATAGAGGAACTTGGCAGTGAACTCAAGGAACATTACAAGATTGAGGCTTTTACTCCTGTTCTGGTCCCAGCTCAAGTAAGAATTATTCTAATAGTCCTTCCTAATTAATATTGTATTTTTAAACTGATGGTAAAAAGGCATCCTTGCTTCCTTTTTTACTTCTTGTCTACATTCTAGTTAGAACATCTGTCTTGGTTGAATTTGATAACGTGGATCCTTCTGAAGAAAGACTGAGAAGTGCTTTCTGGTTTTGTGACCAGAGATGGTCATTTTCTTTGCACTTGGATTAGGGTCTTGCACATAAGCAAAGACTGAGGCCTTTTCCTTTTTAGTGGTGAGGCACGTAGCCCCCTGGAGATTTCCCACAAATAGAAGTGTTCAGTGATCAGGATATGAGGACAACAGCAAGGACAGGGTTTCTAGGAATGGTGACCCATAGTCTCTGTCCTTATGGATCAACTGTTGCAAGTAGTATCTTTAATTGTGGTTTAATCTGGCATATGTTCCAGTGCTTTCTCTCCGAAACATTTTTTAATCTAAGGGGAAATGTGTTCTAGAAGATTCCTTAAGGCACGTCTGTCATTGTTTGCATTCAGAGAAGATTGACCAGTTGGGGAAGAATGCAAAACTATGTCATATAAGGAAGTTTGGGAGGAATTGGGAGGAAGAAGTAGAGGGGAGGCAGGGATGCACAGTCTTGTGGGGAAAGATTAGACTTCCTCAGACTGCCCCCAGTAATGGGAACAGGACAGAGGAAGCCACAGGGAGAGAAATTTCAGCTCAATTTAAGAACTTCCTGTTAAGAGACAATATGGTGTGTGGTTAAGGATCTGGCTCTGGAGCCAAACTTCAAACCCAGGCTTGACCCACTTTTTGACCTTAACTAAATTATGTAACCTGTTGCTGATTTTTCTCTTTCGTAAAGTGGGTTCAATAATAGTATCCACTTCACCATCATTGTGAGGATTAAACAAGTTAATACACGTAAACCTTTAGAACAATGCCTGGTATTCACTAAGCTCAGTAGATGTGAGCTATTAATGGTTGAAACTATCCAGAGATGCAGTGGGCTGCCTTGGGGTGCAGGAACCAAGTTTGCCTTCACTAGAGATTCCCAAGCTTAGATGACCACTTAGAGGGGCTCAAGCATTGGGTGGGTGGGCAGACCAGATGCCCTGAGAGTCACTGATGATACTTGTCAATATGATGCCCCTGCCAAAAAAATCTTTCCTGCTTGGGATTTGCTTCGCTGTTCATTCTGTTGACCCCAGATTTTGAGCTCCTGTCCCCAAGACTGTCGTTCGTATGTTACACCTTCGGTAGGAGCCTGTTACTCTGCTGGGCCAGATTGGCTGTGACACCAACGGGAAGCTGAACAGCAAGTCAGTGATTCTTGAAGGAGACCGGGAACATTCCTCGGGGGCTCAGATTCCAGTGAATTTATCTGAGCTCAAAGAATATTCTCTGTTTCCCGGACAGGTGAGACGGGCTGCACACATGCTGTTTGCCCTATAGCGTGTGTGGTGGGCGGCGGCAGGATGAGCATCTCATCGCTGGCTGCCTCCTACTTGCACGAGGTGTGGCGGGAGCACCGGCTCTAGAGCAGACAGCGGTGTGGGGATTCCAGCTTTCCCTGAATGCTCTGACCTCAGCTCTCGGACCTGCTGCCCGGTTCAGCCTCCAGCTCCACCCCAGCAGGGAGTGTCACTCTGGCCAGGTTCCTTATCATCTCGAAGCCAGCGTGTCTTCATCTCTAAAATGGGAATAATAATTCTTACCTCATAGGATTGTTACAAAAAATTAGATCATTTGTATAGAGCACAGTTATTATTACTAACACAAGCCCCTTAATTTGTTTTCTAGAAAATACCCCCAAGTTTGTAATTACAAAATGAGATAGATGGACTTAGTACTTAATAGATGTTTTTTGTTTTTTGTTTTTTTTTTTTAAGTGAAGTACCCCCGACGTGGGGCTCAAACTCATGACCCCAAGATCAAGAATCTCATGTTCTCCCCACTGACCTGGCCAGGTGCCCCAGTACTTAATACTTTAACTAATCAAAATAGTTTTATTGCCGATCCCTTGTTCATCTCCCGTTCTGCTTCTTGTCCTTCAGGTTGTAGTTATGGAAGGAATCAACACGACTGGTAGAAGATTTATTGCCACCAAACTCTATGAGGTACGACGGCAGTTGCCCCATCTTCCCTCCTGCTTTGCTGCAGACACAGTATGTGCCGTTCTGTCTGTCCTGGAAACTCAGGAGAACCTATTTATTTGCTTCTCAATTCTCTAGCTACAGAATGGGAAGCCGCCTCTGGGCCCCCTTGCAAACCATTTCTGTAAAGGGCCGTACAGTAAATACTTGAGGCTTTACAGGCTATACGGTCTCTGTCACGATGACTCGGCCATTGTGGCTCAGAAGTGCCGTTGACAGCCTGCAAACCAATGAGTGTGGCTGGATTCGTGAAAGCAGGCAGTAGCCGGATCGGGCCCACAGGCCCTAGTTTACCTACCCCTGCTTTAGGCGATAGTCCTCCACAGATTTGCAAATAACGCAAGCAAAAGTAGCAGATTCCCTGCTCTCAGGTCCTTGCCTAGGATACTGTCCTTCAGGCCCCCGTGTTCTCCCACCTTTTGCTGGGTGTTATGAGTTTAGCCATGACCTCCCATTACCGGGGTTTCTTTGCTGCTCTGGTGCCATAGAGGTACCATCCGTTCTGTGAGCTTTTAGCTCCAGGGAGCAAGACTGAGGCTGCTTTCTTCCTTTTGCATCTCAGCCCTCCCCCACCACCCTCCCTCCCCACTTGCCGAAGCTGTGGTTCCCCACTCTTGTTCAGGTTCCACCCGCACCTTTGTTTTAACCAAGAACTCAGTTTAGTTTTTCTCCTGTTTTTAAGGGTGTGCCACTTCCATTTTATCAGCCCACCAAAGAGGATGGAGGTAAGTTTGGGTTCAAGCATTGTTTTGCTAACAGTGAGGATGGTGGATGAGGGTCGTCCAGGTTCCTCAGGCCACAAGAAAGCTGCCAAAGCCGCCTGGGAGCACCCCGGTGGAGGCGAGGGAGGACAACAGATGGGTGGCTTTACAGGCCCTTGGTGGAAGGCCAGGGTCTGAGCCCACTGAGCGTGACCACCTGGGTTCTGGCTACATATGAGGCATGCCATCTGTATCTGGAAGTTACTTTATAAAAGGCAAAATAGGAATAGTTTCTTTCAATGCACTGTGGTGTCCTGGATGGGATCCTGGAAGAGAAAAGGGACATTAGTGGAAAAGCTAGTGAACCCCAAATAGTTAGGAGTTAACAATAATAAGCCAGCATTAATTCCTTTGTTTTGTTTTTTGAAGATTGATTTATTTATTTTAGATAGCGTGTACACGGGGTGAGGGGGCTGGGCAGAAGGCACGCCCCATACAGCTTGATCTCACAATCCTGAGATCATGACCTGAGCTGAAATCAAGAGTCAGACACTTAACCGACCGAGCCACCCGGGTGCCCCTGGATTCATTTTGACAAATGCACCCTAGTGAGGCAGGGTGCCGGCATTCGGGGACGCTGGGGGAAGGGTATATATACAAGAACTTGGTATTATCTTTGCAGCTTTCCTACATTTCTAAAGTTATTCCAAAATAAAATCTTATTAAAAAGTTAGACAAATTTCTGGGGCACCTGGGTGGCTCAGTCGGTTAAGTGTCTGCCCTCAGCTTGAGTCATGATCTTAGGGTCCCCATTCAGCGAGAGTCTGCTTCTCCCTCTTCCTCTGGCACTGCCCCTCCCCACTGCGCTCACGCTCTCTCTCTCTCAAATAAATAAAATCTTTCTTTAAAAAGTTAGACAGGGCGCCTGGGTGGCTCAGTTGGTTAAGCGACTGCCTTCGGCTCAGGTCATGATCCTGGAGTCCCGGATCGAGTCCCGCATCGGGGTCCCTGCTCGGCAGGAAGTCTGCTTCTCCCTCTGACCCTCCCCCCTCTCATGTGCTCTCTCACATTGTCTCTCTCAAATAAATAAAATCTTTAAAAAAATAAAAATAAATAAAAAGTTAGACAAATTTCTAAGGAAGCCTAGAGTTATTTGGTAACTAACCTAGATGGGAAAGGACAAAAAGAAATTTTAACAGACTGCTTCAAAATAATTCACAGCGTTTTTTAAAGCAAAGCAGAAGACTGTTGAGGACTCGCAGTGAGATGGCCGACTCTAGGGTATTGTCAGCACTCCATATGCACAGTAACGGTGTGTGATGAGGTCATTCTGGGCGGTGACCTAGAATGAGGAATGAAATTTAGGAGTTTATGACATTGCACATTGCATCAGAAGGTCCATGTTGCTGGCAACAAGAGGAGCGTGGGGGTATTAGATCCGCTTCAGGTGGTGGGATGAAATTGATGTGGCTGAGATGCCCAGAGCCTGAGCTGTGTGCCAGGGAAGCCTCCAGAAGCAGTGGAATAAGTTATTAACATTTTTGACCAAGGTACTGAGCTAGACACTCAGGGAGACACGAAATGAGAAGTGGGCCCTCCTCTCCTGGCACTTGCTTTCCTCCAGGGTTTACCTCTCCTGTAGGCTCCTCAGAACCAGATTTAACTCTGTCCCCTGCCCTAGCATTGCATGAAACAGACTCTTCTCCCTGAACTCTCGATCTCGCTCCATGGTGTTCCTGCTCTGGTGGACAAGTAACGGCCTAATCCCTACGACGGAGGACTAGGTTATTTTATATGGCAGAAGGAACTTCGAAGGTGTCCTTCAGTTAAGAATCCTGACATGGGGATTATCCTGGATTGTCCAGGTGGGCCCAGTGTGATCACAAGGGTCTTTATAAGGGGGAGGGCAGAAGGATCTGCATCAAAGATAGAAATGGTAGGCTGCTGGCTGGGAAGATGGAGGAGGGGTCATGAGCCAAGACATGCAGGTGGCTTCTAGAAGCTGGAAAAGGCAAGGAGACATCTCTCCTCCTGCCTCCAGAAGGAATGCAGCCCTGCCAAAACCTTGATTTTAGGACTTCTGAATTCCAGAACCATAATCATAAATACATGTTTGTTTTCAGCCACTGAGGTTGTGATAATTTTTCATAGCAGCCACAGGAAACTAATACAACTACATGATAAGTCAGAGATCTTTGGGGTTTTTTGGCATAAGCTACAGAAACTGCTTCAGACTAACTTAAGAAAAAGAGAATTTGTTAGGGAAAATCCAGCTAGCTCACAGCAAGGACAGGGAGCTAGAAATGCAGACTCAAAGGCAGATAAGGACCTCACAACTCTAGGTGTCCAGCTAGCAGAAATTCCCCAACTATCTCATCCAGTTACCTCTGGCTGGAATACATGAGCTCCACCCTTTTTTCTGTTCTTAAATGATTCACCTCGAGGTTCCATTACCAGGGAGGAGAGTGTGGATGGCTCAAACTGGTCACACGCCTGCCTCTTAGCTAGGGGACGACACTGCACCTGATTTATAGCCCCCCGGACTGCCTTGTGGAGGAGAGGGCTGGCTCTCCCAAAGGAAAGCCGATTCTGTGAGGAAAAAGGCAGTGCAAGACAGGTGGCCAAACATCACACCTCCCTACCCCTCACACAGGAATCCCAGGTCAAGCCTCACACCCAGCCCGTCTTTCTGGACTCCTCACCAGACCACGTTCTCCAGTCACACTGGAACACAGATGTTCCCTCAAACCGCACACTCTCCAGGACCCTGTCTTGCCCTTGCTCCCGGGAAATTCTACTTACAAGCATAAGCAAAGTGAAATAGTGTATGATTCCACTTACATACTTAGAGTAGCCAGAACCCTAGAGACAGACAATAGAATGGTGGTGGCCAGGGCCTGGGGGAGGGGGGGCTCGTGTTTAATGGGGACAAGAGTTTCGGTTTGACAAGAGGAAAAGAGTTCTGGGAATGGATGGCGGTGATGATTGCACAGTTCTGTATTTATTTAATGCCACTAAAATGTATGCTTAAAAATGGTTACAGTGGTAAATTTTATGTTGTTTGTGTTTCATCACAATAAAAATAACTAGGGGAAAGGCATGAGCAAATCTCACCTTGATCAGGTCTTTCCTGATTGCTGCTTTCTCCCATTGCTCAGTGTGCTGCTAGCAAACTGCCTGTCACTCCCTCGTTATTCACATTCTTCCCTGTCTCTAGCAGCTGAGGGAGTATTCTTTGAGGATGGGGATGAGATCTTGGATTCCCAGAGTTCTACACTTAGGGAGACTCTTAATTAATTGAATCCTGTGGCGTTTTTCCCTAATTGCCCTTTCTCCTACCATCCCATTATCTTCTGATCAACACTTTGTGATCCTTTCTGTCTTAGATTTTGAGCAACACATGGTCCTGGTGGCCTGTGGGCCATACACCACATCCGACAGCATCACCTACGATCCCCTGCTCGATCTGATTGCCATCATCAACCGCGATCAGCCTGATGTCTGCATCCTGGTAGGAAGCCCTGGGACAGCTTCACTGGGGGAGGCACCAATGGGAAAACTGGGGAGGAGACCTTAGAAAAAGATCCAGGGGCGCCTGGGTGGCTCAGTCAGTTAAGTGTCTGACTCGGTTTCAGCTCAGGTCACAATTTCACGGTCATGGGATCGAGTCCCGAGTCAGGCTCCGCACTGAGCATGGAGTCTGCTTCAGATTCTCTCTCCCTCCCCCTCTGCTCTCTCTCTCTCTGTCTCTCTCTCTCTCTCCCTCTCTCCCTCTCTCCCTCTCTCTCTCAAATAAAGTTTTTTTAAAGAAAGGCCCAGTGTTGTAGGACGCAGTACACCTGGGTAGGGGGCCTTGGCGGCCTCCCTCCATCCAGGGTCACAGCCTTTGCCTGTGATATTGGCTGGGTACTCCCACCCCATCTGCTACCTGGAGGGACAGATGAGCCCTGGGCAGAGAACTGCTAGGAGAGGGTGTGTGAAGGCGCTCATGGACACGTGTGGTTCTGATACCTTTGTTTCTCTTATTTGCAGTTTGGACCTTTCCTGGATGCTAAGCACGAACAGGTGGAGGTAAGTGACAGGGGCCAGGAAGGAAAAGTGCCAGATACCTGCATCAAGTTGAGCCCTCGCTCTTGTTTCCATATTTTGGACTTTATGCTGCATTTGTAACAAACCTAAATTAATCCCTGTGGCTAATCAGAAAAACATTGTAGCAGGGCATTTTTGTAAATATGTGAAGGCTTCATGTCACCAGAATACAAGGCCATTTGGAAGCTGGAGGAGGGAAGTGCACGTCTGTGAGTCTGGTGTCCCCCTGTGAGGCTCGGTGCTAAGGCACGAGCCCGCTCGCGCAGGCGCAGGTGTCTGTGACTCCAGGACCCACGTCTTGCTGTCCTTTGATGCAGAAAACACAAAAGGCCCTTCTCAGGACATCTCTGGCTGAGAGTCGGTGCCTCCTACCCTTTGTCTCAGGATATTGTACCTTCCACAGAAAGGATTGCAGAATGCTCTTGCTTTTACTCTCAGCTTACATTCTAGAGGATGAATTCCTCCGCCATCCCCTTTCCTGTCCCCAAACAGAGTCTGCTCCTTGAGGACAGAGACCACGAACATGTGTCTTTCTTTTTTTTTTTTTTTTAAAGATTTTATTTATTTATTTGAGAGAGAGACAATGAGAGACAGAGAGCATGAGAGGGAGGAGGGTCAGAGGGAGAAGCAGACTCCTGCCTGAGCAGGGAGCCCGATGCGGGACTCTATCCTGGGACTCCAGGATCACGACCCGAGCCGAAGGCAGTTGCTTAACCAACTGAGCCACCCAGGCGCCCCAAGATTTTTTATTTATTTATTTGACAGAGGGAACACAAGCAGGGGGAGTGGGAGAGGGAGAAGCAGGCTTCCCGCGGAGCAGGGAGCCCGATGCGGGCCCGATGCGGGGCTCGATCCCAGGACCCTGGGATCATGACCTGAGCCAAAGGCAGACACTTAACGACTGAGCCACCCAGGCGCCCCAACATGTGTCTTTCATCGTACTCTGTCCTCCAGCTCCTCGCTCAACAGCTGGCCCCCGGGGTCGTTCAGCATGCTAGGCCAGTGAATAAAGGCCAGCGTCTGCTCTCTGAATCGGTCTCCTTCCTTCTCTTGCAGAACTGCCTGCTCACAAGTCCATTTGAAGATATTTTCAAGCAGTGTCTGCGGACAATTATTGAAGGGACGCGCAGGTCAGAATTCAGACTGTTGGACAGAACCTTACGCTGCCCGGTTTCTCCAGGGCAGGAAGTAATGGTAGCTCGTGTCCTTTTATCCTTTTGAACTCCAGAGATCAGATCCACCTCTTGACTCCCAAGCGCACCGACACCGGGTTAAGAGGCGTCTCTGAAATACAAAGATAAACACACTTGACAGGAAAAGGCTGCGAAGACTTTCGCTCTTCCCTTGCTTGCCCTTTACTTCCTCTCTTTTCTCACTCCCTTTTGTATAAACTCCTATTCCCTGGGAATCTTCCCGGCTGATTCTGAGAAGTGTTTGATGAGTTCCCCAACGAAATCCCTGGGGGCCCCAAACATCTCGAAGCTTGAGTGATTGTTTTGGGGTGAGCCCAAGTCCTTCCCCAGAGTCAGAGCTGCCCCACGTTTCACGGGACGCTGCGGACGGCCGAGCAGGCCGTGGTAGAAACTTGGGGGCGCGGAGAGGAGATCTTGGATCCTTGCCATAGACCAAGGGGCAGGAACTGTGAGGAGAGATGCGCAATTCTAATTTGAGAGAAAAGGCACTATTCCTGGAAGAGTCTTGAACTACAAGTAGGAAGTTATTCAGGAAGCTAACATCCTCACTTCCTGCCCCTCTTCCTCCAGGGCCGGGGTTTGAAAGGAATTGGTATAGGTGATGGATCTTCTCCTCTAGGGATTTGCTTGCCTGCGGCTGAGCTCATAGAAAATAAACATTCCTGAGGCTAAGCTTTTAAAAATAAGTCTATAACAAAGGTGGTTTTTAAAACAAGATGTATAATCTTCCGCCCATTCGCAGTGAGAACTGATCCCAGAGTCGATTAGTCGTAATACTACCTTCTTGTATCGGCAGCAGGGCCGGTCTGGCAGGCCTCAGGGACTGGGGAGAAGCACCCCCTAACTTACCTGGGAGTCAGGGGACTCGGCCTGCGCCTGGGTCTGCCCCTTCCCCACTACCCCCCCAAATGAAGTTAATCCAGGTGCCTCTTGCCTCCCACGCTGTCGTTTGTCGTGACGCAGGCCAGACTTGGGGAGTACCTAGTGCCCCTCAGAGATACCCCTCCCCACCCCAACTGCCAGGAGCAGCGCTGGTGTCCCTGTTGGGTCGGGTCCCCTGGGGATGGACAGGGACCTCAAAGCCATGCCCCAGCAGGCGGGGTGCTCTCAGTGCGACATTGGGTTCTGTTTTTGGTTCCTTGCCCCATGTGGTGGTGACAGCAGTGGGACAAACAAAGAACAAACTGGGCATTGTTACTGTGGGGTGAGCGCCCAGCGCTGCCAGGCACTTTCTTCTGCAGCCAGTGTGCGCCTCGGGGCAGGGGGAGCTGCCCTGCCCTCCCCAAAACAGTATATGAGCGGTCCGTGCTGGGGGGTGGTTTATTTTTATTCCTGAGAGATCAGACGTGCAGAGCACAAAGCTGATTTATCAGTAAAAGCCAGAACTCGCGGAAGCGCCCTGTCCACAGAGCAGAGCAGCAGAGCCGCAGAGGGAGCGGCTGCGGGGACCCTCCCACCGTGATGCACGAGGTTGTGCAATGCTCGGCATAGTTGGAATTTTCTTTCAGATCCCTCCCCCTACAGCCACTTCATAGCCATGAGCAGGAGGGCTGTTTCCTCCTTAACCATTGCCCTTCCAGCACCTTCGCTGAAACAGCGGCTCCACCCCTTTAACCGTGGCCAGCGGCACCTCCGCCCTTTGTGTCCATCACAGACTGAGCCCGTGGGGTCTGGAGCACAGGTAGTCCCGGGCGGGTCAGCCCTGGCTACGGGCACTGATCGTGTACTTAATCTGTGTCACAGAGACTGTAACTAATGTGCAGAGAGGTCTCAAGATCCTGGTTTTCTGTTGCACAAGTCTCAGTTCACGCTCTGAGCAGCTATGACAGACAAGTGCCAGATGTGACAACAGTCACCAGTACCTTTATCCCATGGGAAAGGCAGCTGCGTCTGGGAAGGCCATAGATTTCAAGCAAGAGAGGGAGCTGACAGCGAGCGCTGGTGGGGGGTTTTAAACATGCCCTCAAAGGGACACTGCGCCTGTGTGGTTTGTAATAGGCCCCTCTGCCGAGCACAGCTGAGGGAACCAAGGAAACGGGATTTTTTTTTTTTCCTTTCCTCTTTTGTGTGGCTGAGGATAAACAGTTGGGTCCTCAAGTTAAAGGTTTTTCTTCGCTTACATGTTGTACCCTAGAGATTCCCCTTCTGCCTCCATCAAAGGAAATCTGTTTTTCCTGTTGCTGTTAAATAGCCCTGTCACTCTTGCAAGACAGTCTGCTGAGAAAAACTTGGGGCATCGCTTCCCTATGCGAGAGGGAAGGGCCTCGGAGAGAGGCCAGGTGCGCTCTTCCCCGTCCCTCGGAAGGTGTGTCTGTCTGTTGTTGTACGTAGGACCCAGTGTTCTGGTAGGAGGCTGCGGTTTGACCCTCTACGCGAGAAGGCAGTGTGAGGGTCCGGTCATGGCTGGTCTCTCCCTGGGCAAGAGCCCCTGGTCAGGGAGACCAATGCCTGTACGGCCCATCTGTGTGCATAGTGTGAAGTCAGAACTTTGGTTTTGTATCTGGCTGCACGTCTCTGGTTCTTTGGTCAGAACCTTGTCTTTCTAGATTTTTCTATTTCCCAATTTCTGCTCCTCCTTTCCTACCAAATAGTCCCGTCCTCTCCCTGGTGGAACACCACATGGAGCCAGGACAAAGCACATCCCGGGTGACCTGAGCCTCGTTGAGGTAGATGTGTGGAAGTGAGAACAAGGTGTCTTTTGCTCGCAGTGTCCCATGGGAAACAGCACCTCTCCTCATAGAATTCGGTTCGGAAATTCCTCTCTGGATGGAGGCTCTTGTCTCAAGCCCTGATATTTTCAGTCTGTCGTCCAGCTGTTCTAACTCGAATGCGCTCATTTTTCTCCCTCTTCTGATGGTTTTTGGACGAAGTAGCTCTGGCTCCCACCTCGTCTTTGTCCCATCCGTGAGGGACGTGCACCGCGAGCCCGTGTACCCGCAGCCACCTTTCAGCTACTCCGATCTGCCTCGAGATGACAGAAAGGTACCGCATTCCCGCTCTGGCCCCTGAGTGGAGGGTGGAGAAGCCTTCTGGGGGCATGGATAGGGCCTGAATCTTAAGCAGCTTTCTTTAACAGACAGATGTATTTATGATTTACTGTCTATTGGTTTGGCCCCCCTTTCAGTGGTCTCTCCTCCCCTGGGAGACCCCCCCCCCCACTTTCATGGGGAAGAAGGTTCTAGCTTTGGTGCACAAATGCTTGTCTCACCCCTTCTTGTTGTAGCGAGTGCAGTTCGTGTCTGAGCCCTGCAGCCTCTCCGTAAATGGAGTGATCTTTGGCCTGACGTCCACGGATCTGCTGTTCCACATGGGAGCCGAGGAGATCAGTAGGTGGGAAGCAGTTCTGGTCCAGCAGGCAGGACACTGGCGCTCTGGACCCTGGGCCTTTCTTCCACCAAGAAAATCAAGGGGCTGCTTGGCAGAGCCTTAACTGGGAAGTCCTTAGAGCAGCCCTTTGTGCCAGACCCTTTGGCCATTCGAGTTTCTCTGTTCCCAACGGGAGCAACGGGATACATCTGTTTCTGCTAGCGCTGGTCTGTACAGTGTTGGAGACCCCAAAGAACCAGGGCCATGTGTCTTTGCACTTTGTTTTTAATCCTAGAGGTTCATCTCCTTTTCTTCACCTCCCACACTCGCGACCTAAACAGGACTGGGTGTCCCTGCTCCTAGAGGATGAACTGCCGAGCTACTCAGCAGGGTGTCGGTCTGCAGAGAATCAGACCTAGCCTGCCTGCTGATGCAGGTCCAGCAGGTCCCCCATCGCTGGGAGGAGTGTGAAGCAATGCATGTGTTAGGCGAGCTGGGTGTGTGCTTGTTGGCTGAGGTCTGAGGGGCAAGGGTCAGCCTGACAGCACACTCGCTGCTTGCTGGTGCACTCCTTGCCCATTCTTGCACACTGAAGTTTTAGCCAACAGCCTGCCGTGGTCTTGATCACCTGGGATGCCTGCTCTTTCCCGTCGCAGCCCGGTGGCCTGCTCCCCTTCTCAGGTGGGAACAGACCGAGCTCTTTGTCGGGGGGTCTTTCGACTTCCCCAGAGGCACCCTCTCATCACTGTGTGTGGGCCATGTAGCTTCTCCCCGGTTTATCGAATCCTCAGGTCCTCCCCAAAGAGACACAGGGGCTGAGAAACAAGGCTCTGCATTCCATTTCTTGCTTCTCTTGCTTCCCCAGTGCTTCCGGAACTTCAGACAGACTCAGCCGAATCCTCAAGCACATCCTGACCCAGAGAAGGTGAGCTCACTCGTGGGAATATCTGACCAGGACGAGTGTGCTTTGGGGTCCGGTGCTCTGACAGATTTGATTGCGAGCACCTTCCTTGGGCCACTACCAGGGAACTACTCCCTGTGATGACAAGCCTGCCTTCTGTCCCCCAAACACAGGGAGGAACAGGAGAGACAGTCTGTGAAAGCTCGGAGGCCATGTGGGAAGAGGGGACCCCGGCTCAGTCACTGCTTACTGTTTCTCTCTGTCTCTGTAGCTACTACCCACTCTACCCTCCCCAGGAAGACATGGCCATTGACTATGAGAATTTCTACACCTATGCGCAGCTGCCCGTCACCCCGGACGTCTTCATTATCCCATCAGAGCTGAAATACTTTGTGAAGGTAAGTTTGAAGTCTGCTTTTTCCCAGAAACGCCAGGACCCATCTGACTTTCCCTTCTAGACCACTGATCCTCATTCCTCATCTGGGGACAGTGGCCTCATTTCTTTGGGAGAGGTGGTAAAGGACTAGAAAACGAATGTTAGTAAAACATTTAAGTAAAAGCCATCTCCCTGCTCCCCTGGGAGCTCCAGGAGCAGGTAGGAAGGCCCTCAAACAGTGGTTGTCACGTGGGGGCCATGGCAGGGTGACCTGGGAACGTTTCGCACATGCCCTTGCCTGCCCCCCTCTCCCGAATTCGGATATGACCTCCGGGGGAGCTCAGCCTTGAGATTGAAAGAAGCTCTTGGTCATTCTCATCTCTGCCACCCGGGGTGGGTCCCTCACGGGGGATCCACCCAACCCGTAGCCCTCTTGCCGAATCAGAGCCAGTTCAACCTCAAGAGGTAAAACTGTGTTCCCGTGTTGGAAAACGATAACCAGGTCAGGTTTGTCTCCCAAGTTAGGGAGCTGATTGTTACCCTTCTTCATTCCGCGTCAGAGGCTCAAAAGGAATTCAGGGTTTTCCGATAAGTTAACAGATTAGACTTGAGATGTGTTCAGTTGCCTTCCTTTCCATTTTATCAACCCCTCTCTGGGGTCTGACTCTTAGATGATTCCAGCTTTCTCACATCGGCCCCTTTCCTCTCCCCAGGATGTCCTCGGCTGTGTCTGTGTGAATCCCGGGCGCCTCACCAAAGGGCAGGTGGGGGGCACCTTTGGCCGACTCTTCCTCAGGAGGCAACAGGCCGAGGGTGGGGAGGGGAGGCGGAGTCCGTGCACTGCTGTCCAGGTGGTCCGGATCTGAGGCCTGGGCGCTTTATCGTCCCCCGTCATGCGGCACTCGCAGACGTCTGAGAGCCCAAGAGTGGCCCTCTGACGGGAGCCCAGCCGTTGAGAGGTAGAGGAGAGGCCGCGGGGCATGGGCCCAGCGGGCAAGGCCTCATGCAGCTGGACCCTGACCCTGAGTCGAGCTGCTTTGGAAGAAAGCTGTTGTTTCTTCGTGGACACGCGAAGAGTCCCGGGCAAACTGGCTGTGGATGCAGCATCCTCAGAAAAGGCAAGAAGACTTTGTGATTTTTCTACATGAATCAGACACAGGAACAACTTTTGGAGAAATAAAAGTAAATTCTGAGGGTGACTTCTGAGTTTAATTCCTCTTCCGCTCTTTCTTTTTCCTGGCAGTGAACAAAGAACATTGCCTCCTTGACCTGTGCCCATGAAGGCCTAGCATCTGTCACACTGGGTTTCCGTCCAGCCGCAAGCCTGGTCCTCCCCAGGCCCCCGTGGCCTCGGTGCTGAGGAGGTGTGCTGGGCGGGGGCCACGGAGCCGGGCTGCAGAGCGAGCAGCTGGCTGTGGCCTGGCCCTCCCCGCCCAGCACTCGCCTGCGTGCTCTGGTCCCAGCCTGACCTCTCCCATCTGGAGGGGGCGGCTGCACGGAGCCCTGCCAAAGCCGGATTCCCCGGTGCCGACCCTGCCAAGCTGCACAGCACGTGGGGCTCACCCACAGCCCAGAGCACTTGGCCAGGCGGGGCCCTCTAGGGTCCCCAAACGTCCCGTGTGTCCCGGCGTTTGGGGAGAGGCCGTCACCAGCTAACCGTGGACCAGGTTTTTGCCCAAAGCTGGCAGGCTGTCCTGCGTCCTGTGCCCAAGCCAAGCCCGAGGGGCCCGACTCCAGGGCTGAGGGAAGTGTGCGAGGGAGCAGGGGGTGTGATGCCTTTGGCCTGAGTCAGAGATAAATAGGTGACCAAGCAGTGTCCAACCTTTGCCTCCCACCTCAGACGGTGGAATCCACGGCAGATCCAACCAGGTTTGGGAGAAACTGGTCTCCCTTTGAAAACAAGCAGCTGTGGTTTTGTCTCGTTCATTTTATAGGCGCCTCCTCTGAACACAAGAACCAGAGACAAGCCCCAACTTGGGGAGCTGATTTTCTTCCTCCTGAAGATCCCCCTGCATGGGAAGCACCCAGCCACTTCGTCTCCAGATGTGCCATTTTGGGAGCCCGGGCCCCTCTCCCAAACCTCAAACAGCTGTGGTCCCCCAGTTCAAGAAGAGCCTTTGTATCATTCCACCAACCCCAATGTCCGCTAAAACCCTGCCCTCCACCCCCCCACCCCTGCCTTGGAAAACCCTTGCCTGGGAAGATTAACCAACAGGCCCTGGGCCGCGATAAACCAGGCTCTGGGCCCTTATCGTGTGAGCCCATGCGTGGTTCCTCCATGTGGGGCTCCTAGGGAGCCACACTCTTGGCAATTATGCCCATGTTGCTGAAGAAGCTTTGTGGGGAGTCGCCATGTCGTGGTCCCCCCTTAGCAAGGTACAAAGGCCCCTCTCCCCTTATGACAGACTCCGCAAGATCCAGAGTCCCCGTGGGATGGGGCAGTTGGTGGAGGGGGAGGAAGGTTCTGCATCCTGCGGGGGAGGTGTGTGCAGGGCGGAGGGAGGCAGTGGTGAGAAAGCTGGAGCTCAGCATGAATGGGAGCGCGAGCCTGTTGCCTGGAGACGAGTCGTGTGACTGTTGGAAGTGATCCTGGAGGGCTCCGAGCAGGCATTTAAAACTCACACGGAAAGCAGGCTGCGGACCCCAGATTGCAGACAGCTCTGGCAGGCGAGCGCCTCTCTGCCCCCAGACGGTTCCCTTTTGCTCGCGTCAGGAAGCCGGTGCCCAGTGTCTGCCAACTGGCTGCTCCTAGACCCCTTTTCAGCTGGGCCCCTAATTTCCTGAATGGCTGTGCCTCTTGCTCATGGAGGGCTCTTGCCTCTGCCTGTGCCGAGGCACTGACCTCTGGAGTAAGGCTTGAGGAGGGAGGAGGGAGGAAGCCAAGGAGCCAGAGCTGGGCCAGGACTCCTGGGACACTCCTGCTTCAGAACCCCCTTTTGTTTGGTGGCGTCTCCCCTGGTCCTGGTCGTGCCTGTGCCCTTGAGACACAGATCTAAGGGTGGAGCCGATGGTTCTGAGCAAACAAAGTCCCTGTGCTCTTACCAAGTTCCACATCTCGAGGTGCCAGCCCTCATGCCCCTCCCAGGGTCACCGCCTCTTCCTCACTCACTGGTGCTGGTGGAGCCTGAGGCTGCCCTCCCTTCACCCCTGCATAGCCACCCTTTAAGATTCAGGCTCTGTCCCCAGGAAGGTCAGGGGAGAGCTGCTGAGGGGGACCCCAGTGGGTTCTAAGAAGGAAGCCAGGGGACTGGGGTTGGTGGGGGCAGCCAGAGGAGGGCTGGGGCAGGGCCATGACTCTGCTTCTTGGGGCCTCCATCCTGCTCTGTCTCTGCAGCAACTTCGGGCTTGGCGTTTCCTTTCCCTTGACCTGGGGTCACCCAGCCTGGCTCAGCCCATCTTGCAGCTTCCCCTGATGTTGGGAGTAGCCTTCTGGGCTGATTTTTCACTTCTGTTTAGTACACGTTTCTTTTCCCCTGACCTTGGGGCTCCTGGCTGAGCGCCCCACCCCCCACCCCCCGAGAAGGCGTCTTCCTCCACACTTGAGCCTGCTAACTAGCCATGAAGGGTCTTGACTGACTGGGGTGGGGATGGGGGTAGATTTTTTTTTTTTAACACTTTAAAAATTAGTGAGATACACGGCCAGCATCAACTTTACCATCTTAGTGTGTACCATTCAGTGGTTTTTAGTACATTCACAATGTCGTATAAACATCATAACTATCGAATTCCATATTTTCTTCACTTCTAAAAGAAACCCCATCCCCATTAGCAGTCACTCCCCACCGCTCCCCACCCCACCCCCTGGAAAACACAGACCTACTTTCCACCTTGACAGACTTGTCTGCTCTGGGCACATCACACAAATGGGATCATATAATACGTGGTCCTCTGCGTCCGGCTTCTTTCTCTGAGCATCATGTTTTCAAGGGCCATCCACGTTGTAGCAGGGGTCAGAATTTCATTTCCTTTCTCCCCTTGTTTGAGTACTATTCCCTTGTGCAGCTAGACAGTGTTGTCTTTCTTCACTCATCAGGTGATGGACACTGGAGCTGTTTCCACATTTTGGCTGTTGTGAATGATGCTCCAGTGTTGGAACATCTGTCTTCAGTGCTCTCGTTACATACCCCAGCATGGCGGGGAAGGGGCTTGAGGGTTATGGAGGGAGGGAATGCAAGGAAAGAGAGGGGCAGAGGGGGAGAAAAGAAGTGATGGGCCAGGAACAGAGCTCTGGAGCCAGACTGTGAAGTCAGGAATGCCTTGCAAAGGAGTTTGGACTTGATTCACCCCAGGGAACTTTTGGAGGCTTCTGAGTAGAGCAGGAGGACAGTAAGGAACCTGCATCTTAGGAAGGCCTGGCGGTGCCTCAAAGGGCAGAGTGAAGCTGGGAGAGGCTGGAGGCCAGAGACACTCTAAGAGCTATCAGAAGACAGAGCCACCCGGTACCCACTCTCTGTTCCCATGGAAACAGTACCCTGGTTTCCCTGTGGGGAACCACCCCTCCTCCACACTCCTCCCTTGCCTAAACCAAGCAGCACATCGCCCCTCCCTGGCCTCAGTGAATGGCCAGGGATAAGCATGACCGAGGATAGTCCGAACACCATGACTCCAGGACTTCTGCAGGAGTGGTAGAAAAGACACGGCCGCAAGAGTGGAGCTGCTGCAGCCATCTTGCCACAATGAGGGGAAACCCATCCTGAATAGGGACTAAACCAGAGGACACATTGCCAGGAGTTAAGAGGGGGAGATGTCAGCACCAGGCCACGTTGTCTAAGCTCTGATGAAGCCAGCCCCCACCCCTCAAAATCTAAGCCACAAATATACCCGTTCTTTCTTTCTTGAACTAGTTGGAATTGAATTTTCTGTCATTTGCAACCAAAACAATGAGGGCCTGATCTGGGACAGCAGGATTGGGATGACTGCCGGGGACAGACAGAGAAAACACAGCTCAGGAAGGCAAGGGAGTTAACATTTCTGAGGACATACTGTATGCACTTTGACAAAGAGATCACATCTAACTCTCTCAACAAACCCTGCTGGCAGGTGCTAAGAGGTTGGAGGTCACCGGCCTAAGTAAGTGATGGAACTGGGATTTAAACTCCAAACCCGTTGTCTCTCCAACCTGCCACGCTGACCAACTTGGTACACGACAATGACAGACTGAGAAGGAGTTGGGAGGTAGCAGCCCACGTGCCTGGGAGCACAGCGGGGAGGGGGTTGGAGGAGAGGTGTTTGGGGAGGTGCCTGGGACTACTGGGGGCAAGTTGGGACCAAGGGGGGCACCCAAATGGCTATTGGGCTGGGCTGTTGGGTGACAGGAGCCGCACTCTGGTGAGGGGTGGGAACTGGACTGTGGACTGGTTGATCTGGGAGTGGCCTGCGTAAAACTCACCGCACTCAAAAGCTGGAGAACTGGGAGGTCCTGGGGGTCTGGCGGAGGAGGGGGGAGCTGGAGGTGAAGCTGACACTCCTGGCCTCTCAGTCTGGAGTCACTGAGGCGGGACTCAATCAGCCGCACTCAGGCTTTTGGGCCCCTCTGTCACCCCTCTATCCCTGAGCAGCCAGGCCTATCTGCCCCCTCCCGGTCTGCCCGAGAAATGGCAAGGGCCCCAGGGGCCAGCCTGCCCTTAGACCCACCTGGGCCCATGGCCAGTTCCCAATTCCCCCACCCAACCCACCCTCCTCCTCACAATCCGGGCTCCCCGCCCTCCCAGAGCCGGCCTGACAGCTGAGAGGCCGGCGGCTGCCTGGGCCAAGGGGCCCCTCAGAGGTCTCTGGGACAGCTGCTGCCCAATGACTCTGCTGACCCCTGGTCCCTCTGCGCTGCTCCCGGAGGGCCCAGCCGAGCCCTGTCTCCTCTGCCTGCTCCATCACTCCCAGATCTCTCCAGGGTCTGAAGCATCTGCTCCAGGGTCAAGTCAGCAGTGCCCACCCCCCCCCCGGAAGAGTGGGAGGGGGGAGATGCTGGGCTGGCGGAGGCGGCCCCTCAGGGCAGTGGCTCTCTTTGGAAGCAGGCAGCAGTACCCTCCTGGCTTCTCTGTTCCAGGAGCAGGAGGAGAGCTGGGCCAGGGTCTAGAAGGCACGGCCATTCCCGATTCCCACAGGTCCTTCCCAAGGCCCACGTTCCCCTTGAGGACTCCGTCCCCTTCAAATGCTCTGCCCCTTAGAACACTTCTAGTAACAGTGGTCTGCTTCTGGGGAT